TTATTTGCTTGAATTTTTATATGATATTGTGCAGATGTTTGCCACAGGCAGTTGGTACTTAAATGAGAGACGGACTCTTTTGCCTTGGTGCTTTGGAAATTGAATGTCACAAACAGCGAGTATATATTTTTAAAATCTACATTTTTAGAGCTGAATCCAATAAGGTGTCTGAAATGTGAGTTAAACATTACCTTGCATTTACACCGGTAGTTTTTATTATTTTCCATTCTTTGTACTTGTTCTGGAAGTAATGCTACTTTTAAAATATCCTAGACTTATAACTAAATTCTAAGATAGTACTATTGTCTTAGATTAATTCTCTGCCACCCAGATACTATTTTTTAAACACATATTATTTTGTGGTCCCAAAACAAAATGTGCAAGGGTATATGTCATAATATTTTGCATTCAAGTAACATGCTTTTTTTCCTCTACAGAAAACTGCTTTGTGTATTTTAGGTAATTAATATACAATTTAAGGTAATGAGACTGTTCAATCCCACTACAGTTTTAGATAACATATTAAATGTGTCTAGAAATTCTGGCAGAAGAGACTAAATTTTTGGTGAAAATAGATAAAATGTTATATAGATGTCATTTTTTTTTGGTTTTAATTACTGAATTAAATTATAGGTAGAAACTGATAAAATGTTAAAAAGGTAAATAATTACTTGTAATTAGCAGTTGATTGTACCACAGATTCCTCAAAAGTTTCAAGCACTGGGCAGAGTTTAAATTATATGACTTGTTCATTTTGGTTCTTATTGTATAGTAAGAATGAGTAAATTTTAGTGCCCATTATCATTAAATAAGACTATCTCATTCTTTAAAATTAAAATTATAACTGAGTGAAATTGTATACATAAAAGATATGTGTATAATGACCTTTTCCTCTCCTGGAATGGTTGTATTTTCTTTTTTTTTAATAACAACTGTTATAAAAATATAGTAAATCATTTACTATATTTTCTTTGAGTCTATGGCAAACAATTGATCAGTATGTAAATAAGTGATTTGAACCATGTTTGACTTACAAGTGTAACCACAACTTAACAGAAAGCATCACCTCTACTGTGTGTTAATCAAAGCCCAGGCGTGCCACAGTCATGTGCTTTGTGTAGAGATGGAAGAAGCAGCAGCATTCATCCTTACTCTTCATTGCCCCAGTGAGAAAGGGTAGCACAATGGAAATACACCTAAACTATTTTATTGCAGTAATTTACATATCTGATATTGTGTTATTTAATATTTTGAATAAGATTTTTAAAAATAAATACAAGATATAATTTTTAAAAAGTGCTTGGATGCTATAACCCACATTTAGGGCTACACAATTCACAATAGCCAACTATGGAGCCAG